CTGGAGAGTTGAAGATGAACAGATGTTTTAGAAGGAAGGGTGGGGAGGCTGTTAGAGGGATCTGTGGGTCAGGCTGCAGAACTCACTTTCCTTTGATGGAAAAGGCTATCTAGGGGGCCACTGAGGAGTCTGACCATGAAAGTGACTCAAGTCATGCTCACAGCTGTGAGTGCAGCAGACCCTCAAGGTCTCTGAAGGGAGAGGCTGTTGGGGGGATCCAGGCCTCAGGGGGTGCAGGCAGCTGGGTGGGAAGGAAAGGGGCCTGAGAGACGCATGTAGCATCTGGGAACCACACATATGGCATCTGTGGGCTCCAGGTCAATTAAGGATTAAGGGCCAGGTCCAAGGTCCTAGGTAAGTGTAGTCACATGAGCTGAGTCACATGGGCAGTGCTAGCGACGTGGACCTAAGCCAGCTTCAGTCTGTGGTGTGGGGCCTGAGAATGTCCAGTGTGACTTGGAAACAAACAGTGTGCCTTTCCTCGTATGCAGCTCTCCAGCATGGAAAACCAATGCAATGGCGGGCCAGACAGAATGGAATATTTTGCCCTCAGCCCAAAGGGCCCCACTCTACTAAAAGGGCCACCACCCAAGGCTGAGGACGCAACAGGGGGACAGTCATCACGCTCACACCATCAGTCCAAACCGAGTCTTCCCTTACAAATCTGTCTGAGCACTCCCTGTCCCCACCCACCCTGCACACCACACTCACTAAAGTGCACTCTGTCCTGGCACTTGGGGTGCACAGTGCCCCATCAGCCAGTCTGTGTTCTGCTCCACCAGGAACCTCCCTCAGGCACTGAGCTGTGCTGCCTGGGTCGCGGGGCTTTGCCTCAACACTGTGACTTTGCTCTCTGAAAAAGTCTGACACATAATTTTCTGTCCTGATTGCATAAGATGCATAGATCCAGAAACTAAGGTTTATGTCAGGGTCATACTGTGGCCTTAGAGGGCTGAATCTACTCACATCACCCGTGTTGTAGATTTACTGTCTTCCAGGAGGTGAAATGCCTTGTTCTAAAAAACAGTAAGACAATTTTCTAAAAGGGGGAAATAAAGTGCCATGAGAACAAACTTATGTTTTCTAACTGGCACAGAGGGTCTGTGTGGCCAGGAGTGACCTGTCTACAGAGGTGCTATTGGCCAACTATCTGTAGACCGGGCGCACTCTCCAGCTTACCAGTGCCCACCACTGCCTGTCGTCCTAGGCTCTTGATTGCTGTTACTCCTTCAGTCGCTGACCCCGCCCCCAAGAGCATGTAACATTGCAACCCTGCAACATGACATAACACCTTATAACACCCACTCCGTCTCTGGGAAGCAAACGTTTGCAAGGTTCGTTCTTAGGCTGAATTGAAATCTTCACAAACCTTCCACCTGTCCATCCTACTCCTGGAGTCTCCATAGGTCTGACAGTAAAACTAATCTTTCCCTAAAGCCCATGCTCTCTACGTATTTGAAGACTACCACAGAATCTCTCTGCAGCCTTCCCTTTTCTGTATTAAATACACTGTCTTCCTTCAACTGTTTCCTACGACACTGAATCCCTCACTGTAGTCAGAATGGGCCCTGTTATCTTCTTACAGAGGGGCATCTGTGAGGAGAAAAATTCTGCAGAAGGGGTCTAATGCCCTGCAGCCCAAAGTGTAATACAAAAGCCAGGGGCGTCTGCACCACTCAGGAGCTTGTTCTTATACAACTGCAGAACCTCACATCCACCCCGTACCTCCTAGATGGAGATTCTCCTGCTGACCCAAATGCACACACCTACTCACAACAGAGACTCTCTTGGCTTTGAAGAAGCCTAACATTCTGTTACAGTTTTCCATGTTTCCTGTTCTCTGAAGTTTCTGGGTTTTCCACACTTACACCTAAGCCCCATCTTATTACACTGTGTCAATTTTTCGGATGCCTGTAACAGCTGATTACATTCTGACACTCGACCCATGTGCCTGCACTAAGACCTTGAGGCCAAAACACAGATCAGTTCATCTCTGTCTTTGGTGCCAAGCGAAAGCCCCAGCAAATAATATTGCTTATGCAAGAAGTAACCAAAACATAAAACGGTAACAGAAAATTGACTCGTGTAATCAAACAGCTCAAAGCGTGGCCTGATCCTGGGCTCAGACACCTGACAGGACTCAGGCGCTCCCCACCGTCCAGTTCTGCTTCCTTGGAGTCAGCCTTGCTCTGGGGCAGGATCTCCTTCTGTGACCTGGAGGTAGCCACCAGTGTCAGTCACAGCTACATCCTTTCTCACTCTAGTCCAGTTGGCAGAGACTTCTGAAAACTTCTCAGATTGATGCTTTTCTTTTTCTTTACTTTTTCAGAACCTTAGCAACATCCCCTCCAGTTTCGTCAGCTCTGATGGGGTTCTCAGCCCATCTGAGCCAACCGCTGGCGTGCAGGAAGATTACTGTCCGAGCAGTATGACCTGGTGAGGACCCACTCCAGAAGAGGCAGTGTGGCTGCAAGTGGAGGAAGGCTCCAGCAGGAAGTCACGAAGCTGGTGCTGGGTGAAGCTGGGAGATAAGCCACAGACGCCACCCTGATGCGCAGTGGGGCTTTAGTTTCCTTTGACTCTTGCAACTGTTTCCAGGATACGCAACATTAGAACAGTCACTAGCACAGGTTATGGCCAGAAAACTTTTCTATTTTTAAACAGCACACAAATTTGACTTGTGTGACCGCTCCATCACATTGTTTCAGTGACCAACTTGAAAAGGGCCTTGGCCTACCTCCTCCTGGAATAATAAAGCAGCAGACGTTGTTCTTTGGGCCACTCCAAAAACCACTGCAGGGTGGTTGGCCACACATAATAAAGGGTGCACTTGAAAGGCAGTGTCCAATGACCAGCTCTGGCTGAAGATGTTTGTGTTTTTCAAAAGCTCAATAAGCAGCAGAAATGACCACAATGTGTTTGAAACCTTATAGCGTGTGTCTTCAGGAGACAAAAGTGCCCCAAACTAGATGGAAAGACGTATAATTTTTTAAATTAAAAACTGTAGACAGGAGAGGTAATAGTCAAAGTAAAATAAGCATGAATCCTACGTTTTTGTTTCCAAAATAAAACCCGAGGTATGGGGAAAATTGCAATATGGAATTCAGAAGTGGGCTTGGGCACAGCTGTGCTGCGCGTTCCCTGTGCTGAAGACTCTCCATGACGGTCACACTCAGCTGGGAAAGGCAGAGAAACCAGTGAAGGCGGGCAAGGGGGGCACCTACCAGAGGGAAACTCACCACTGACCCGGGGGCAAAGGCTGTGGGCCAGGGCAGTCGGCGTGAGGGTACACAGCCCGGAACAGGCCACCACCACTTCTCAAAAGGATAACTTGGACCCAGGCCTGTCCAACTCTTAGGAAGGACAATCATAGTGTGATCTTCTCAAATGAAAAGCAGCCTAAAGCTGGTGCCAGCCTCGTCTGCTCTGAGAAACAATCTGTGTGGCTCCAGCCTTCACCACTTACTCAGCATAGACTTTGTGTAACCATTTACCCTCAGCTTCAGTTTCCCCTAGGAGCTGCGGCAATGATTCTCCTCTCATAGATAAAACAGTTTATGGGACAAATGCCCAGAAATGCCCAGGACAGAGCAAGCCTACAAAGGCCATTTTCTTCCCCGCCGCCTGCTTGGTGCTCCGACTTTACAAGCACACAACTGATGCTCTGCAGTTTCTCTCTGCTGCCCCTGAAAGCCGGCAGCACTCAGCTCATACCATCAGGTAACCTTACAATGCCACAGTCCTTGTATGACACATCTCAAGTTTTCACCTAGAGGTGAAAACAACTCAAATGACCAAAAGAGCACAGCCTGGCCTCTCACTGAGCATAAACCCTGGTAAAGTTGAGTGTAACAGCTTCAATCAATCACAGCTTTTAGAACAGCAGCAACAGCAGCAAGCGACTCTCCCACTAGGCTGTAAAGTCCCTACAGGTTAAGACCCCATTTATTCAACTTCACATTCTCCTCAAGCCCAGGTGACTGGCCTGTGGACACCCAGAAGACGGTGATAGGAATGGTGAACCACACTAGGATATGAAAGGCTGCTCAACTGTTACTAAATGAAAAATATAAAAATAAAAACGGGGGGAGGGACCCTCTGCTTAATGAGTAAAGATTAAATTTTAAAAATCTTGTATTATTACCATTACTGTTATTTTAAACTTTTAAATCTGCAGACCTACAGACCAAACATCAGGTCTAGTTCTAACTTCCTGATTCCATGATCTCTGGCAAGTTGCTTTTTCTCTCCACACTTCAGTTTCCTTAGTTACACGAGGATGCAAGGTAAGTTTTCTAAAATCCTTTTCAGCTCTAAAATAAAGGGTCCAAAATTTCTACACACACTTGTAGCAACTCTCTTCTGAGCCAGGCACCATGCTGGCAGCCACGAGGGAGCAGAGGCCACAGCCGGCCTTCAGTGTGCTTGTGGCTTACTAGGCAAAAGACAAGGACTATAGCCCAAGGCAGTGGCCATCTGAGAGGGACCAGTGTTAAACTGTCAGCCGTGCAGATGAGAACTGACTTTCCAGAGGGTGTGGGATTTGTTCCTGCTCTGATGCAGCCAATACAGAGCACCCCTCAGACCAGGCACTGTGCCTCAGCACAAAAGCACAACCAGGACGGACCCAGACACACAGAGCCCTGCCTCAGGGGGCCTGGAGGCTGGCTGGCAGGGGCCAGGCACTTGGAGAAGGGAGAAGAATCGCCAGCAGAGCAATCTGTGGAGTAAAGGCAGGAAAGCAGGGAACCAGGTGGGTGGCCAGGAGTGAGCTCAGCCCTGACTGCACTGTGGGAGGCGCAAGAGGAAGGGGAAAGCATGAGGCCGGCAGCCAGCCTGAAACACCAGGGCATGGCGTCCAGATTTCAGATGGTCCAACAAAGTCACCCAGCACTCTCAGTGATCGACTGTGCTTAAATGTCACGGGGTCGCTGATTTTGTTTCCAAATACACCTTGTTTTGTGTAATAGAAAGAAAGATGCAAGGAAATTCCCCAAACAGTAATTTAAATAAATTTATTTGTGAGAGAAAAGCATCTGAACGTCAGGTACCATCGGCCCACAGTGACCCAGAGCCGGTCCTAGCTCATTCTGGGAGTGCCCTCACACAGTCTGCAGGAGAGAGTCCGGTGGAACTCAGAATTCATAGAGCCGTCGGACGTGGGCATTATACGATGCGTAATGAACATGATACAGTAATAAAAATACAATATCAAATACTCACCGCTTTGTGAGTTACAAACTACTGTAGAAACAATTTAGGCCCCTTTTTAAAAAATGAAAAAATATTTCTGTTACAGCCTTATTTCAAGCATTTTCAGTTACATACAGCTTTATACATTTTCACTTACAACAGACAGCAAGAGAACGCCTTCCCGAGTACCTGTAGTGAAACCTGTTACTTGTTTGATGTCTGCACTCTGGAAGATACTTCAACATGTGTGAATTCAGATAAAAGCATGGAACTGTGTGTGGCAAAATCCCGGCTGACGGTCAAGACTTGGAGAGTTTTCATATATTGTTAAAAAAAATTACATTGGGGAGAAAAGCAGCGAGGACACACAGAGAAGCAACATCGTCCTTCCTCGATGAAGCGATCTAAGTCCAGAGAATGGGCTCTGCGCTTTCAGTTCAAAGTGTATGGTCCCAAAGATGGATTCTTTAGACTCCAAGGAGCTGCAGCTGTGAGGCAACACTCACTGATGAAGGAAGGTGGGAGGAAAGTGTTAACTGAACTAGAGATGGTCACTGAGAAAGCAGGTTCCCAGAAGTCCACAGGCCCACCCAGAGGTAAAGGGCGGCCAGAGCTACGGACGACACAGAGGAGAACGCAGTCACTGGACTGCACACATGGAGCTTCTGGGAGGGTTAACAGTTCTTGACAGAGGCTCCTGGTTGTAGTTTACAATGTCTGCCTTCACCACCCTCTGTCACAAAGGAAAGCAGAGTTATTATCAGGACATCAGAACACTGAGAAAGACCTCCTTAAAGTGTATTTTTATGTTATCAACTTTGGTGAACTCCTGATGATAGGTATCATGCAAGAAGCAGGAGCTGATATGATTGAAAGAACAACCAGAATAAAGTAATGGAGAGCTGGGGTTTTTTTGTTTTTTTTTTTTTAATAAAGGAGGCAACTCTGTTTTTGAGTCTTTCCCAGTTTTATGACATTAACTTGGTTATCACAAGTCTCATAAAAAGTGACAAATCAATAAGAAAAATTAAACCCTGATTATAATTTAAAGAAAAGGAATTAAAATTAATCATTCACATATATTTTAATTCATTTTATCATGTGAAAGTAATGTCATTGTTCATTAGTATTTCTATAAGCCATTGCACTTAGCCATAACTTTCCTTACAATTTTTATAGCAGTTTTTGACTTAGTAAAAAGGGGTATAAACGTCAGAAGATTAACACATAAGGCAAAAATGGTTTGGGCAACCCATTTTTTAAAACTTCCAATTTTTAAAACTCTCCTCCCAAATTCCTAACTTGCTTCTAAATACTTCGATACTGGGTTTTGAATAATAACTCTTAACAAAATATGACACAATGAATAATTTTCAAAATTACCTCATTTTCATGTTCTTAAAATAACGTAAACTAAGAGACACTTATAATCCTTCCCTCCCATACACTCTTCACGTGAATGTGGTAACATGCCCTACTATTCATCCCCAAGTAGTAAGCTACATTAAAACAAGCCCTTCCTGTTTTCTACACGTTTACTAAGTCTGCACATGGAAGCAGACAAAGAAGGGCAATTCAAGGCAAATTTTAAAAATACTCTTTAAATTACAAGGCTATTTCAGGAAAAATGGAAAGGAATGAATAATGAAATAACTGTCCCAATTCTCCACTTCACTGCATGTGTAATAAACACAACCATAAAGACAAATATGTTTGAAAGTGACTGAAATGTTGTTTTAATTTGTTCCCAATTTCTTGTTTAATGGGTTAGTCTCTTGGCAAAAGGCCAATTTTTCAGTTCAAAAACAGAACTTATGCAATATTAATTTCCAATAATATATAATCATCACCTGAACTTCCCTATTCATAAGGAATAAAGAACAAGATGGCATTCACTAGTTCTCCCCCCAAATTGTAACAATGTATCCATTAATACCTGCGCTACTGTACAGAGCAGACTGTGCTCTGAGCAGAGCTGGTACGCTGAGTATCTTCTTCCGGATACTTCACTATTTCTGCCCTGACAATATGCTGTCAATTCCATACAACATAAAGAAGACAAAGAAGAAAGAATAAAAAAAGTAGACAAAATGGAAAGTATGTTCAATGACTGAAAATAGAAAAAATACCAAAGTAGAAAAAGAAAATTAACATATAAATTTAAACAAGTCACAAACGAAACAGTAGAATGCATACAAATGAGAAGAGAATGAGCCAGGAGCCGAGAGCGAGCCCTTCTCTACAATTCTGTTTATTAAAATAGATGTGTCAGAGCCACGCGTGTCATTAGGAGCCTTGCACGTCCTGTTTTTCAGAGGAAGACCAGAGCTAGTAATGAACAACTGAGATATTTCTTAATTCTTTGAAAACAGAATTTGAAAGTGGTACTTTAAGTGTGTCTGTAGGGCCTGGGGGAATATTCTGGAAGTTCCTGGAGGAATGGAGGGCTGGGGCTGGCGCAGGTGGATGAAGGGTCCTGAGGAAGATGATGGCATCCTTATTTATGGAGCATTAAAGAGTGTTTATTGCTGCTGTAATGAGACTAAAATATAAATAAATGAATAAATAAATAAAATAGATGTGTCCACTGTAGTTCCACTTTTAATAATCCAAAATGGAATTATGGGGGTTATCCGATGCTACACTAGTATCGATCCCTTTGCAGAAGTACTAAGTACTTTGACATACTTGACTGAGGACACCCTGTATCCACGGCTCCACACCAGCAATGTGCAGGGATTACACTAAGCCTAATGGGAAGAGAAACACAACCACGAGCACTGCCATGCAGCGTGCGCAGCTCACAGTGGGAGGGCGAGGAGAGGACGGAAGACAATCAGAGGAAGCCATAGGCCATTTACAATTTCCATATTTAATAACATTTCTTACTTGTCCAAGACTTCCTTTCTGTGTTCACTCCCCCCATTCCTAACCGTGACCTCCACATTTCCAAATTCCATATAGCAATAAACCAATATAAGATGCCATTGTAGGTCACATAAAAAAAATTCATGAAATATTATATTTAAACACAACAGCTGCTGCTTTCAAATATCTAAGAGTTTTGCTAAATAACTGTTTTATTATACTGTTATAATTTAATTGCCATAACCCTTAGGATGACAGGACCACAAGGGACAGACACATATGCAGGACAGACAACATCTCCCCAGTGTTTCCAGATTTGAAACTATTTTTGCTTTTCCATGATTACAAGTATCTTATTTCAGACACCTGTCCTTCATTATTAATGAATTCATAATAAATTAATTAATATAGAAAAGCATCTTACTATGGGCTGCTGTATGTGATGACATTTATAAATAAAGATTCAACAAACAACTGCGAAGAAGTCCACGGGAGGCTAAAGCATATGAATTTATTATCATTAGCCTTGGCTAGCTCCCACTTAGGGTCACCAGTAAGCAGTGCTAACTTCTGGACAAGACTCATGATTTACTAGGCACTCAGCCTGATGCTATCAACAGAAGCATTACCAGCTGCCAAAGGAGTGCGAGGAGGCACATCAGTGAAATATTGTGCACCATTATCTAACCTCCCCAGACCTGACTGTTTCATGCCAAGCTGTGGGTTACAACCAAGGAGAGGATTTTCATAATCAGTACGCAACTCATCAATCCAACTAAATGTCAGCTTAAACCCTGTCCTCTAAACACAGCCAGGTTACTGACCTGCAGCTGAGACATTCTGGTCAAAGTCCTGACTAACATAAACAACTTGGGTTTTCATCATTAATTTTCACCAAATTAATGAAGAATTAACAAGGCAGCATCTTTCTCAGGAGTCTCAACGGCTTGACATAAAGCTTTACACAATGTTTCTGAACTGAAAGTCATAAGTAAGGCTCTGTGGATTTAAAACTTTGCTTCCTATGAATAGAAAAACATAATTTCCATGTCATAAACTTCACAGTAGGTGGTTTGGCTGTAGTTGGCTTGTTTATAAGCCATTTATTGAAGTTTTTAGAGAAAATGTCACCTACAAAACACCACCCTTTATTTTAGGAGCCACAAAGCACACTCAATTACTCTCTGCTATTACTACGTAGTCAACAGAGTAAAAACAGCAAAAGAGGGAGGGTGGGGCTTGGTGAACCCCAGCAGGCCCCTGACTGTTGGAACATCTGCAATGCCAGGTGGAGCTGGGTGAATCCCAGCAGGCCCCTGACTGTCAGAACATCTGCAATGCCAGGGTGGGGCTGGGTGAACCCCAGCAGGCCCCTGACTGTCGGAACATCTGCAATGCCAGGTGGGACTGGGTGAACCCCAGCAGGCCCCTGACTCTGTCAGAGCATCTGCAAGGCCCATGCTGGCAAAGGAGAGGCAGCTGTCCAGAGGGTCAGCAGGAAAGGACGCTGGGTCTGGGGCTGAAAGGGGCAGAGCAGCACGGATGCACTCTTGGGAAGATGCAGAAAGATCAATGTGGCCAGTCACTCACTTGCACCTTCCTCCCAATCGTAGTAATGTGTTTGTCACTGCAAGAGCCAGTTTGTCACAAAGTAACGTATCCTCAAAGCTAAAGATTTGTCACTATCATTCATTCAAAACCAATCACTATCCTAGGAATTACACACATCAAGGTCTGTGTGATTAAGCAAATCATGGTGATTTCTCTTTCACGTATTCTCCCAGGCCAAACCAAGTAGCTATTTTTTATGTGTTTGGAAGCTACTTAAAGAGCACAAAATACACACGTCTTAGCCCTGTGTTTGACCATAGGAAATACAGAAATAAAAGTCTTTAAATCCTAGGAATTTAAAATATTTAATTTCCAGATTTCCAAATCTTTTAATCAAGTCCTAGAAATAGGCATGTATAACAGGATGTATAACAATTTTCCACTGATATTAGCTCTAATTGTTTTAAAACACACACACACAGAGTAACCACGAGAGTAAACACAAGACTGCTAACTCCAGAAGAGTTACAGAGAAACTTAAAGAATAATTATACCTTTTTAACTGCATGGGATAGAGATGAGGTAGAGAAAATTGATGAAAAAATGTAATTGGTTTTATGTAATTGTTTATAACCAAGCCACTTCTGAAACTTAACTTTAAACTATAAGCCCTTGCTCTGATTTTTCATTCTGTCAAATATATGAGTTAGTGTCCAATTATAGTGGTACTATAAGTTCTAAGTTCTTCACTGCTGGTACTCATGTTTATTACTAGTGAAAGAACTAAAAAATCCACAATAATTGACAATGCTATTAAACAATAAAATAATATTAAGAACTAATATGAAGAACAGATAACTCTGAAAAAACTTAGAGAAGTACAAAACGACGTGTCAGCACTGTTACATAGCTACTGATGAAATCTCCATTACAGTAATATATTTTTTCCAACAAAACAAACAAAATGAGGTTTCAAGGCAAATTCCTCATCTTCTGTGATGAGCACATGTCACACACAAAGCTCTAGAGACACTGCATGGAATATAAAAGGAAAGGATTCTTGGGTGGAAACTAATGTCTTGTAATAAATCCATTAAATTTTTAAATATAAAGTTCACGATAATCACCTGTGACTGTTCTATTTCTGCTTTGTTTAATTTGATTCCAAGGATTTCAGCAGCGACTTTCTGAAAACACAGGAAGACCTACATAACAAAAATAGGCTTAAGTGATTTAAAACAGGCATGCTTCAGTTACCTTCAAATAAATTGAATTTTCTAAAACATGATAAACAGCAAGAATTACAAAAATAAAATGTAACAAGTGATTCTAAAAATAGCTTTATTTGTCAAATATAAGACATCTTAAATATAATAATTTTTTTAAACGATTAAACCACCATAATTTGAAAAATCAAGCAATTTACTGAATTGGTCTAAATTTACATTGATATCTAAAAGCATACATTTTAAAATATTTAACTTGACAATTTCAACTACCACTTTTTAAAAACAGCAAAAAACAACAAAAAAAAATCCATACCTACTAACATAATAAACTCTCCTAATTCCTGAAGAACACGAAAATAAATCTATCTATACTTTACTACCCTGGTTTTTCCCTGCCAATTCTACGGGTCTTCTGAACAACATAAGACCTTGGTCTTACTTTACAAGCCTTTAATGATCTCTGTGGCTCTCATATCAATTGCAACAGATTCTCTGTATCTTTTGAGGAAAGCAACTTGGTGCTCTTTACTGTACTCTTATCAGTCAAAGGACAGAAGCAGTTGACTCTGTTACAGTTGAACAACAGTCTACAAACACTTTTCTAGAGACAGCCTTTCAGGCACAGTGAGCTCATACAGGGTCAGCTGCAAGTATCAGCGCTACAGTCCTGACGTTTGCTGCAGTCTAACTTATCTTTCCTTTATAAATGTACTGCCACAATTTTACCTCTACTCATCTTATGAATGTTTACTGAATATTTACCACAAGTTCACTAATTTAATCTTTATTTCTAATTGAAAGAGATACATATCCCTGAAAGGCTGATGCCATTTGTACTCCTGAAGATATAACATATTTTAGTTCACTGATGGTCAATATTCAAAGAACAGGAAAGTGGAGAGAAAGAGAGTGATGATAAGAGAAGAGAAGCAAAGAGGAGAGAACACAAAGCATGGAGGCTCTGAGAGGACCTGGGAGGATCTTGGAGGCTCTGGGAGGACCTGGGAGGATCTTGGAGGCTCTAGGAGGCTCTGGGAGGCTCTGGGAGGACTTGGGAGGCTCTGGGAGGATCTTGGAGGCTCTGGAAGGTTCTGGAAGGCTCTGGGAGGACCTGAGAGGCTCTGGGAGGACCTGGGAAGCTCCGGAAGGATCTTGGAGGCTCTGGCAGGCTCTGGGAGGAGCCAGGAGGTTGTGGATCTTGGAGGCTCTGGGAGGATCTTGGAGGCTCTGGCAGGCTCTGGGAGGACCCAGGAGGTTCTGGAAGGATCTTGGAGGTTCTGGGAGGATCTCAGAGGCTTTGGCAGGCTCTGAGAGGACCCAGGAGGTTCTGGAAGGATCTGGGAGGCTCTGGGAAGCCACTGGGAGACATCTATTCTGAGTGAAATGAGAGCCATGGGAGAGTGGCCAATGTGACCTTTACCTCACCAGGATCAATCCAGTTGTTGCACTGAGCATTCACTATACAAGATCAAGTGTACAAGAAGAAAAATCAGCAAGGACACTAATGTAAGAGATTCTGGAGGGTGAACCCAAGTGTAGAAGATGGGCAGAAACAGGCACCAGGTTCTGGATATAATTGGAAAGCAGAGCCAGCAGGACTTGCTGACAGATGTGGGGTGAGAGGAGGAGAGCAGTCAGGGAGGACTCTGTGGCTCAAGCCACTGGTGGAACAAATCCACTATTCAGCGAAGTGAGGAAGACCTGAGAGACCTGAGGAGGAAACAGCAAAGCTCAGCTCTGGTGTGCCAGCCCCGTAACTCTTAGACAGCTGAGTGGACGGGCCAAGAGGGCGCTGGACACATGACTCTGTAGCTCAGGCAAGAGGTCTGGGCAAAGCTTGAGACTAAGCCAACTCACTAAGGGAGTAAGTGAGGAAAGTTAGGAAAAGGGACAGCCAAGACTGAACCCAAGAGAACTACAATATTTAGGGGCTGGAGAGATAAGCTGCAGTCAGTCAAAGGCACTGAGAGAGCAGAGAGAAAGACTGGAGGGAAATCAGGAGTGGAAGTGTCCAGGAAGCTAAGTTATAAATATTTCAAAGAGGAGAATGTGACCAATTATTGTATATGCTGCCACTTAATCATGAAGGGCACAGAAAACTGACCACTGGATTCATCAGAAAGGAGGACATCAGTGAGCTGGATAATAGGGATTTGGGCAAAATGCTAGGGAAACAGTCTGCTGGAACTGTGCAAGAGAAACCAGGACAGGAACTAGAGACGACAACACTTTGGAAACATCCTGCTGGAAGCTAGAGGAAAGAAATAAAGCAATAGGTAGAGGAGATGGGGTAGAGACTTTTCTTATTGTTTTCAAAATGTCATAACATTTTGTATGTTGAAAGAATAATCCAGTAGATGGAAAAAAATATGATGTGGGAAGGACAGAGAATCACTAAAGCGATGCCTGTGATTAGGCGAAGGAAAAAGGACTGGGGCATGATGGAGGAGTCGGCCTGGCTAGGAGCACTGACCCCACAGTGGCCACTGAGCAGGCGGGAGGCATGGAGCAGACGGGGCTGGGGCAGGACGGAGGCAGAGGTGGTGCTGGTGAAGTCGTCTTCTCTGTGTTCCACATTTCTTTTAAAATAGGAAACAAGGTCATCAGCTGAGAGAATAGAGGGAGATGTTCTGAACATCAGAAGCAGGAAGAGAAGCTGTGAAAATAGTCACCTAGGTGAGGAAGACAGATGGCAGGTCAGGGACATGTGGTGCAATCACCAAGCAACATTAAGACCCACGTGCAGTCAGCACTTGTGATTTAAAGGGAAACCTCCAGCGTGGCCTCGGTGCCATGTGTGTGGGTACAGCCGTGGAGAAGTGGAAGTATGGTTTACATCAGAATTAGGGTTCAGCCAAATGAGTCTGACAAATTAAAGAGAGAACAGAGAACTGAGGGTACGTGCATGGCAATAGTGTGGACTGCCATGAGATTTAAGTTCGGAAAAGAGGAAAATGAAGACATGAAAGGAGGTCAGGCCTCTTGAAAAGACATTAGGGTCAATGACTCCTAAGTCCTTCTGGGTTGACGAACGACTAGGTTCTCTGTCTGCAAGAACGTGAGATGGGATGGCTGGTGGTTAGTGAGGAGGACGCCGTGTCCTGGGAAGGGCAGTAGTGATCTGTGCTGATGAGCCCTGTGGCTGTGGGCAGCAGAGGAGAAACGAGGCCAGTGAAGCCACTCAAGGTTATGACAGAGGCAGCCTGGGAGACAGCAGCACCGGGGCCAGGTGCTCAACTCCGCAAGCAGCGAAGGGCAGTAACTTGGAGCTGGAGAGGACCACCAGTCGTAGAGGGATTCCACAATAACAAGCCCTTTGAAAGGAGTGTTTAAAAAGAAAACAATGAGACTTTTTAATGGTGGTTAAATATAAGTACACAAAAAACACCAAGTGGTTAAAAACATACTAAAATACTAGAAGCTTAAAAAATTCTAAAATGGCAAAAGACCCCAAGGAAATGAGGGTAAAAACCCAGTCAATCCAGGAATGAGTTTATCAAGAATTATTGACACTGAATTATTTTAAATGGTCTGGGTGGGCATGTGCCCATGTTCATATTATCCTGGGGAAAAGGCTTCTAGGAGGCCAAATTTTTAATGGGGTTAGCCCCTAAAATGATTAATCTCCCTTTATATGATTTAATATTTATCCTAGGCATAAAAATTACAAAGGATATCATAAATAAAAAAACATCAAAAAGATTAAACCAGAGGAAAAATGTCACACTCCTTTTGGTTGAAAAATGTTAGGAAAATTAAACAAAAAAGAAGGTAATAGGGAATATTTTCAAAAGTTATGACAAATAGCTACTATACCTAACATAAAAATGGTATAGAAATTAACTTTTTAATTATAAAAAATTACGAACAGACAATAAGCAGAAAATAAGTAGGTAAAATAAAATGTTTAAAATGTCAACTTCAATTGTAATCAGAATTTTAAAAATGAAGGGTATTTTGGGGGGGGTACAAATTTAAAAGGTTTAAAAATAAATAAATCTTGAATGTTAAAAAGGGTATAGTAGTCATGGCAATCATACCATGCTGGGATACCATAAATTAATTTAGCCTTTCTGGTGGTAATCTGGCAATGTTCACTCCCCTGTCAAGGAATTCATCTAAAAAAAATTACCAAAACTTCAAAAGCTTATGGATAAAATTTTATATTAGAACATTCATTATGCCCTAAACTTAGAAAGGCCCTATATATTCAACAATACAAACACAGTTAAATACATTTTTGAATATTTATTTAATGAATTATTAAATCTATTTAATGTTTAATGACATATGGAATTTTTCTACATATAAAATATTAAGTAAAGAGGTGAAAGAAAACTATATAATATGACCCTAATTTTTTAAAATGAGTATTTATTACAGTTAATACAATAGCCTTGGCATGTCACTGTTTGAATTCCTAAGTCCTACCTTCACCACTTAGCTGTGTAACCTGGACAAAAGAACTTCCACAGAACTACACAACTTCTCTAAAATGGACAGAACAGTCCAATGCCCAGCACAAAGTACACACTCAGCACGTGCAACCAATTTCTATATGGACCATTTCTATTTGTCATAATTTTTGCAAATATTCCCTATTACCTTATTTTTTATTAATTTTCCTAACATTTTTTCAACGAAAAGAAGTTTGAAATTATTCCTCTGTTTTAATCTTTTTGATGTTTTTTAATTATGATATCCTTTGTAATTTTTATGCCTAGGATACATATTAAGTAACATAAAGGGAGCCTAATCTTTTGAGGGGGGGTGAAACCATTAAAAATTTGGCCTCCTGAGTGCCTTTTCCCCAGGATAATAAGAACGTGGGCACATGCCCACCCAGGCCATTTAAAGAGCTCAGTGTCACAGCAAGTAGCGGGGTTAGTATTTTTGAGCATTAGAAAAGATTCTGTGAAATCATATGAGATTATGAATGGTCATCTCTAGGTTTAGGGATTATGGGTGGCTTATGTTCATTTTAATTCTCTGCATTTTAAAATTCCCTATAATAATTATACAATTATGTTAAATGAATTATAAAATAATACAGACGGAATAGACATGTTATAGCTCGTCCATTTTATGACTTCAATAGGAATTAGTGGAAGCATGCTTGCTATGAATGTTAGTAAATAAAAGTAAACATCACTGACTATGCAATACTCATGTTTTACTTACAGAGTCTCCTGTCTTGGCAGAGACAAAGTGACTACTGAAACCATTTTCCTGGCAAAACCGTAAGTGTTTTTCAGGTTTTACTGTTCGCATGTGCTCCAAATCGACTAGAAAAGTGTGAAAGAGAGAACAGAATTTGATATTAGAGTCAATCAAAACATTTTAACATGTTTAAATTTGACTTACTTTCCAACATTATATCCTAGCTGTGTAATCTGGGGCAACTTATTTAGCCTCTTTATACTTCAGTTCCCACATCTATAAATGGAAATAACAAATAGGCTATGTGATACAGAGTTCTTTGAGAACTAATCCATGTACAATACACAATGACCAGCAGGTGACCACGGCTGTGAGAAAATCTAACCCACCTTTATCCTACAGATGCAGGCGCATCGAGGAGGCTCAAGAATACAGTCCATGTAATCACAGTGGTTAACTGGTGGCCAGGAGTACTTACCCAAGCATATTCAGCTTGAGATCATTTAATTCCTTTAATAATTAGAATAGTTATGTAATCTCTATAAACTTAAATTTTAACACAAATATGTAATTAATTTTCTGCTAAAAACAATCAATATCACATTGCCTACTTAATCTATTCACAGCCATGGTTTAACTTCACAAACACACAGTTCAGTTGCTTTCCAAATCTATCGGTCTGGAGAGTAACAGGCAAAGATACATTTCCTCAAACAGTTCCATTTCCTCCCTAGTACTCGCTTTATCCAGGACGGTCTACCTTTTCAAATGTAATCCTTTATTGAACAGTTTCTCTTTTTATAGCACTACAGACCTTATAAGGGTGTTCACTCAATGCCCTCAAATTATAAAGCAAATATATTCATAGGATTTAAGGACAACTAGGCCCTTTGAGTCAACATAGGAAAAAAAAACTTAAACTGATTTCCTGAGAAAGGGACCCAACTGACTCGTAAAAACTTGTAAATTTGCAAATCTAGTAAGCCTACATAATAGTGGCGATTGATTATCAACTAAAAAATGCTCTCATACTACATAAAAGGCTTTATATAAAATTATACTGAAGGTCTGTAGTTTTAGGCTCAAGAAATCTTTCTTTAGAAGATTTTTGAACTTGTGGGGGGATGAATGCCTGAGCCCCATTTATGTTGCTTACCTTGAAAAATAAGTACTTTTTTTTCTTTTCTGGACTCTAGTTACTGTTCCTTATACATCACTGAGATTTGTAAGAACATCTAGATACCACAGGCATCAATTTGTGAAAGACTAAAATACTAATCTATTAACAATGACATTTATATATCTAATTTATCATAATATTGAAGTTAAAATACTTTCCTAACTCAATAAGAATAAGAACAAATCATGTCACTAGGAAAAAACTCCAATGAGGTCACTATCCAATTAAACAGTCATAAAGTTGTGTCATTTAATGTGTGTGTGCATTTGTCTTTTTAGCGAAATAGCCTATCTTTGTTGTCTTTCTGTTTTTTTTCCTCTCTCTTCCTCCTCCCAACTCTCCATCTACCACATAATGAAGAGACCAAAACTATCACTGCCCAACCCAAAGCACTGGTGCAACAATCACTTACGGAGCACCTGGTAAGAACCCAAAGATGAAAAATACATCATCTAATCCCTCAAAAAGTTACCACAAGTATTATGAACATAAAATACCATTAAGAACTATAAAAAATTATCTTAAATAGCTGAAATAATCACAAGTGAGACAGCAGATATAAAGAGAAGGTGGACACAGCATCTCCCTACAAAGTTCTCCTGGGTCTGCAGTGCTCATACTCAGTAGGCAACAACTCAGAGGGCTCCACTACCAGAGGCTACGGTCTGATATTACATCCAAGAAATCACTGCCAAATCCAATGACCTGAAGCTTTCTCCCTGTGTTTTCTTCTAGGAGTTTCAGATCTTTGAGTAATTTTGAGTTAATTTTGCCACAGTGTAAGATCAGGGTCCAGCTCCCTTCTTTTGTGTGTGGATGTTCAGTTTTCCCAACGCTGTTGGTTAGACTGTCCTTCTCCAATTGAGTGGTCTTGGCTCTGCTGTGGAAGATCACATGACCCCGTCATCTATGCAGTTTATTTCTGGGCTCTCCAGCCTATTTGGAAGGCTACGAAGAAATAAATTGGAGCTCTTAGTCAGCATGGTCGACACACAGAGGTCAGTCTTCCACTGAGTATATGCAATGCATGTTTGGCCTACGGAAATCAGGTCAACTTAAGGTGGTGCTCGGTGTAAGAGGTGGTCAACTATGAAGGTTCTACTGTACAGCAATGGAAGGCCTTTGGAAGGCGGTAACCAACGGCACAATATACTCTTTGCAGCTTAAAAATTACTCTGGCTGCCATGAAGGGAATGGATGTCCAAGGGCACAAACAGAAGCAGAGAAACCACTTTAGGAGATTTCTGAAACAACCTAAATTCTTCCAAAATTTTCAATCTTGGCAGATAGATAAGCATTGTTCTAATTTCACACACACAAAAATCCTGATGTTTAGACTAACTTAACTAAAAGCCTAAATCTCGCCCCAAATTGTAGCACCAGAATTAGAACCACGCTATCTGCTTCAAATCCAGTTAGAGGCTCCTAAAGAAGAAAGAGCATCAACTTCAGAGGTGATCATTTTAAGTCAAACTTTTACTTAGAATTTTAACTAAAATAATAATGATATGTAAACTTTAAATAATCACTGTAGCTGGTGATTTACTTTACTTTAAAGTATTAATTAATAACAATAAATCATAAACCGGAGGCCATAAGCATTACGGAAGAATGTAAGATATGTTCTGACTTAGCACTTGATTATATAAAGCCTTTACAAAGTACTTGCAGCTGTACATACAAGTTGTGAAATTACATAATGTTTAAAAATGATCCATCACGATTAGACCAAACATGACAAGTAAAATTCCCTTAATAATTTATTAAATTTGATTTACATGTGCTTAAAATTATGTATATATTTTGACTTCTAAAACACACAGGCTAATGCTAATAGCCAGGTATGGAACAACCTCTCTTCCTATGTCCTATGTGTTTACTGGCATTTAGGATTCCTGCCTTATTCAAGATCTCCATTGCATTTACCTATATAATCACTGATAACAATGAGCAGAAGTCTCAAAAGATACATTATTAAATGGAGTAGCTTGCTTTAAACCTAGATATATCAAATATAGTAACATCCCATCTATTAATCAGACTAAATGATGTTCACTTTTAAGTAAAACTTCAAAATTCTGAAACACTGTACAAAGTATCTATATTATTTGGCCTGAGGCTTTATAATGTTCATATTTTCCCAAATAAGTATTTTTCAACATGCTATTAAGTGCATATTCTATAATAATTATGACATCTTTCAAACTAGAGAAAGTATTATGTTATGCTAGTTAATTATGTTAACAATGTCTATCCCCATCACTGGAAAGAAAGCTTTAAAAGTGCAAACTATTTTTCTCCCTCAGTCTGTAGACAATGGCAGAGACAGAATATTCTTGGTGAAATAAGTGTGAAAAATGTCACTGTCTAACTTAGAAGAAGTAAAGCAAAATATAAATATCGTACTTGTACAGATTTTCACAGTGATTTTTAGGTTATCAAGGAAACATCTAGAGTGTTGATCTGGTTATACTCAATTCAAACAAACTACTTGTCACATTAACTACCTCCAGGAAGTTACTCCAAACACAAAATAAACTGTTTATGCCCCTACTCAGAGAGATAACATGACAGATTGTTATTAGTTGAAGACAGATGAAATGCGTTGATTTGACTGCAAGCATGTGTTTAATTTTAACCTGCCGCGCACACTTGCTAATGCTGTCTTTCCCTGATGGCACGGTAAATCAGGCCCTATTAGAAGAAACGCAAATGCAAGAAAATTAAAAAATACCCGAACTTGACTTTGACTTTGTAGATTCTTCAACTAAGCTTCTTATAAATATCACTGCCTGAAAAATCTCTGAGTTCCACAAACAGATAAAGACAAAAAGACAAAAGGTGGGATCAAAGAACTACTTTACTTTAATTTTTAATATAGTGCAAAGAGCTCAGCGCAGCTGAACACTGCTTCTGTATACCAGCTTTTATCCTTCTTTGTGAATGTCTTTTCCTTCCTATTCCCAGTGTCTACTGTTTTAAATGTTCGTGGAATCAATTTGTATAAACATTTCCTATAGTAAGGACACCAGACTGCCTTGTTTCAAACATTCCCCTCAGGTTAAGAGGCTCCTTTTAAATGTTTCACGGGGCTTTGGAAACATAGGAATTAAAATTCTGTGACGTCAAATACCGTGGCAGACAGTAAGTTCATTGCTATTCAAGCTACACTTATTCTATTAACACATGCTGCTAAAAACAAACGGGAAAAAAAGGCATGTAATAGCCACTCATAAAGTTATTTGTTGAGTGAAGAAAAATCTTTTTGGCTCTTAAAATAAATACAAATTGTCCACTGTGTCTAAAATAATATATATTCTTTCATTTTTCAGAAATAGTATACAGCACTGAAAATTAATGTACAAGTGTCACATGACAATAAGAATGAGTCTCACAATGTAGTGAGAGATCCAAGACACAAAAGAACACACACAGATGAGGCACTTACATGGAATTTCGAAATGGCAAAACTAAGTATTATTATGAAACTACAAAGACAAGCGAGGACAAAGTCAGGACAAAGGAGAACGGCTGCTGTTGGTGTAGAAAGGAGATGGATCCAGGCACCTGGTTGGCCTCTGGGATGCTGGCAATGCTTTCTTTCCTGACTTGGGAACTGTGACTCTTTAAACTATGTACATATTTTACATACTCTTCTCAATGTATATCTCATTATATTAAAAAACTCTACTAAAATTTTAATAACAAGGGCAGTGCCTGTGGCTCAGTGGGTAGGGCACTGGCCCCATGTACCAAGGGTGGTGAATTTGAACCCAGCCCTGGCCAAACTGCTGCAACAACAACAAAAATAACCAGGCGTTGTGGTGGGCACCTGTAGACCCAGCTACTCGGGAGGCTGAGGCAAGAGAAGTGCCTACGCCCAGGAGTTGGAAGTTGCTGTGAGCTGTGATGCCATAGCACTCTACCCAGGGCAATAAAATGAGA